CAAAAGTCAGTTCTTCGCATGTGCTAACGTTTTGACTCGTGATAACATTTCGTCGAATGCTGATTCAATCTGTCGGAAAGAAGGGAAAGAACTCCGGGGACCGAACTGATTTTACCTCTAAGCTGGTCATAGATTTAGATCGGCGTTTCGGCACAGGCGAGAAAGGTGATCGCTCTTTACATTACTTACGAGCGATTTCGATTTACGAGGTATTTGGAGACTCGACATAGACAGGCCCCAGGGCTGAAAAACGCCGGGACGGGGAACCGCTTCGACCGAAGAACCTACTTTTCCGTAATTTCAAGAGACCGGATAAAGAAGAAATTGCCCAATCTTCCACGCTTTCTTGCTAGGTACAAGGTATGGTCTGTGAATTACGAGAGGGCAACGACCCTCCTTCGTCGAGAAATTCTGCGCACTTGTTCTTAGATGCACAAATGAAGTATAACCCACGTTTTCATGCCGGCGGAGTTCAGTGATCGGTAGATGAGGAATCGACCAACTAATGAGATTTCCAGGTTTCCCCCCCATCCGTATGCTTGAAAGAAAATATTTCTTCACTGGGGCTGCCAGATTCGAGAATGTAATCGGGTCCTCATCCGGTTGCGGCTCGTGATATTTAGCGCCAGTGGTTCATCTTTGGAGAGGGGGTAGGCGGGGGGGGGGGGGGGGGGGGGGGGGGGGGGGGGGGGGGGGGGGGGNTTTGGAGAGGGGGTAGGCGGGGGGGGGGGGCGCTGGGGGTAGGGGGCAGGCAGGGGAGGGCGCTGCCTACATAGACGAACCACTAGCGCTAAATATCACGAGCTGCCACTGTCTATATCTGAGAATTTTCAAAGCGATATGCATTCGAGCGGTGAGCCATATCACGATCATAATCGTCAGACATATGAAAAGTGGAAATACGAACTCGAAGGGCAACACCGAGAATGGGAAAGAGAGGGACGAAGTTAAAAATCTGCCACGCCCCATTTTGACCGATTGATTTACTCACAGATGCGACTCGCATTAGTGCTTGCACGATTTGCTATCGGTTCTCAGTGCAGCGAAACGGGACGTGGATGTAAAAAGTGGCATCCATTATCCTGGGGCGATGTTTACTCAAGACGCCGAGCCGGTTACGCGTTCGTAACCTTCTAGGGCAGGGGTGCCCAAAGTGCGGCTCGCAAAGGGCTTTTGTGCGCCCCGCGAGGTGTTTTGGGAAGAAATTAAGTTTTTATGAAGATGTAAGTGAATCTATGATTTTATGTGCTGTGAAATGAGGGAAGTACAGCCTGACCAGAATTAAATTCACTCTCGTGTAAGGACAGCCTATTCCCGGTTAAAATTCTCGGATATGGAATCATCCTGACACTTTTATTGGCGATTACCATGTGACGCTTAACTGCACTTGAAATCCAGGCGCCATCTGTGAGGGCGAGAAAATCCGCAGGGCTGCAAGATTCTGCTGAAAATATGCTTAGCATGCATTATTCCAAAGACCTAATTTCCTTTTTTTCACGCACAAGTTTCTCTGAATAATTGATGCTGTCAGATTTCTCCCAAAGGTCGTCACGACATCGCAAATATACTACAATAGGAGATTCACATGAAGATAATGTACAGCATTTCATGGCACTTTCTGACATCCCTATCTATCTTTAGTATCCCATCAAGACGGGGTGAAGGGAGAATAGGAATTAAACCTTGGAATTTACTGCACCAACCTCATCCGTAGGACTTGTATGCCACCCGTTTCTCAAGGACAAACAAGCAAGGGCAATGTCGTCGAATCTAGTTCATTTCACAAGGACTGGGATTATCAGTCAAGCGGTGGCTCCATACCAAGCGACAGTGTGGGTTTGCGACTTAGTTTGGATTCTATTTTTCTGTGGGCATGTCAGCAGCGCCCAGAAAACCTAGTTTCTATGAAGAAAATAGCTAATTTAAAGACAAATGGACTTATGAATACTTCGGGTGACATGTACCAATGGCGGAATCGGGTCAGTTTTAAGACGGGATGACCACGTTTACTAATACATGTTTAAGAAAGTGTTTTTTTTTTTACATGCCCCGCCGAAAATCATATTAGTTTCGTGAACACGTTTATTCACGACTTAAACACGTTTAAATCCCTTGGAAAGAGAATGATGACTATTGTGCCAACTGCTGCTCCATTGTCCATACCAAGTCGGCGACGATGTTCTTGGAAAGAGGAAACCTTCGGGATTAGTCTTCATTGAACCATTAAAGAGTATCGATCTTATCTCTGATAGTTCGGCAGTCCTGGCAGTCCAGGCGAACCTGGCAGTTTGATTCAGAATCACCAGAAAAACTCCAATCTCTTCATTACCTTCCATTTCCACCGTCGTTGGATGATGAGAGGCAAGAAAAATGAGGCCCACTCTTGCTAAACAGCATGCTGAACTAGGTCAAAAACTATGGACACGATTTTTTTTTGGGTATAATACTTACCATGCAGAAAAGCAAGTTTTCAATTATGCTGCCCGCGAACCCGCACCCTACAGGCTATGCGGTCCCCATGACCCGAAACTTTGGGCACTCCTGCTCTAGGGGATACCAAATGCCCCCGCTTTCTCCATAAAAAAAATCCGACACCCATTGGCAGATCCGCTTCATCATCCGATGCGGTTCACATATTGGAAAGTGTATCTGACGGATCACGAGGTGCGTTCGAAAAGCACCGATCGAGTAGATGCCATCGTGTGATCGGTACGAGGTAGAACTCGTACGTCGCCGCGAGAGATCTGTCTGCGATGCCGCGACGTCGCAAGTCTGTGCTCGTCCGAATGAAGAGTTTGCCAGCAGTAGCAAATTTCGTTCGGTTATGTTTCGAGCGACGGTCGAAGATGGCAGTATTTTCTGAAGTCGAGCAGAGAACCATCGTGGATTTTTTGACACTGCAAGAGAATAAAGCGGCTGACATTCATCGGCGATCGAGTGAAGCTTTGAATGTTTTCGTGGGTCACTTCGACATCTCGGCCGTTTTCAAAAAATCTTGCTCGTTTTCTCATAATGGATTCACGAGAGGCAAAGGACGGCCGCTGACTGCAACTTGTACGACAAAATTGTCAGCCACCATCGTCGTGGACGGTGGAAGGCAGGCATTCATCGGTCGAGAAAACAGTGGAACGTCGTGGCATTCGTGTGGGATCTGCTCGCTCGGGCCTCACCTCTTAGGCTCTAGGTTTCATCTCGACGAATTCCTAAGAGGACGAGACGGCCGTGGGACTGGACGCCTGTCAGCACTTTCTGCGTCGTTTTCGCCTAGATCATGCGTTTCCGACCGGGATCGTCGCGATACCTTACTCGAGCTCATTCGGCGACTATGAGAAATGTTTTCCCTCTCTTTCCAAAGCGAAAGCGGAAAGATGTTACACCCTTGCGGATCCCTGTTCCAAGGAATATCGGGAAATTTGTCGAGTACATCGAAAAAATTTTGTGGGTCTACACACGGTCTAGTACTTGAACCACCAGGCTTATAACTTGCTTTTAAAATGCGCATTGGTTAAGTCAACACCACTGGACAAGACCGTTATTTAGTTTGAATTTGCTGTTGCAAACTTTTTGAAATCAGCGGAAGTGGTGCAGACGATGAAATTTAGCAGAGGCATTGACGTAGCTCTATGATCATTTGCGGGCAAAAAAGTTTCGGCATGAATATTTTCAACGGCAAAGAGGCACGAAATGTTAGAGAATGAAAAGCTATGCATGAAAGGAGGTGTGCAGAGGCGCAAGTAGCAGATTGCTCTCCTTGGTGAGCTGCTACCCGTGTCCTCTCGTCTCTCAAAGGATACACTTCTAGTACACCCGGAAGGCTTAACAGCGTGATCTCGGCACCTTTTCCACTTACTTCTTGTCGATGGGCATTTTGCCTAGAAGAGATGGTGGATACATGGAATGCAGAAGACGGTGACGAAGGCAAGGAAGAAAAATGCGTTTCTTGATTAATGGGAGCAGTACCCTCCCAGATTCGTATGCAGAGGGATTGGGAGACAATTGCCCCTCTACCCGCCTATTTCATGGATCATTTCCTAAGGTTCAAATCCAGATCCTGTTCAGCAGGCGAATTTATAACCCCAAGGCAAGGAAGGGTACGAGGATTTGAAGTTTTCGAGTATCCTTCTCCGGGTCACTTAACTCACTTTCCGACACTTCTCACAAGCCCTGTTACTGCATTCATTTTCCCCATGCCTCAATACCTAAATAGATTTTATCCATGCTCTAGGCGTGGTCGGCAGCTGGCGGCCCGCAGAAGCCCTCCCACTGGCCCGCGAAGACTCGGGTATCGGATATTACGGTCTGACAGTTGACGTTCAATAAATTTTCATTTTAATGACACTTGATAGGTGTTGGCTCGCGAACGTTCTGCTATCTGGCCCCCGTGAAATTTAGTTGCCGACCTCTGCTCCAGGCGAAGTCTCTGATGAGCAGGAATCTCTTTGTTGGCAGTCTTCTTCATGTAGTCCTGAGACACAAATTCAGTAGAAATATATTGCCGAAGGGGATGAAAACCAATAATGGAAAATACAATTTGGTTTAATTACAAGGGTATTTGAAATTGAGAACTCGAGATTAGGCAGTACAATAATATTAGAGCTCTTGATGGAGCACGCTTTGAAGCAGGGCTTTGGAACGGTAGTAGTATTGTTTCTGTTCTGATTCAGATCCAAGCCTAGGATTATAGCCAAATTCAGTTCCATTTCCCTCGAAAGGGTTCGGAATCATATCGCTCTGTTCGTAAGTTGCCTGTTGTTTTTCATGGAATGAAGTTATTTCTTCCGAAAAAAAAGGGAAAAGAGCTGCTCGTTATGCAACTCTGCTTTTATGAGGAAGTGAGGCAGGGGTAGAGGAAAACTTCTCAGGGACCTAACTACCAAAAGGGTACAGCATGGCACTGCTCTACGGAGGTTTGCAAGTCGCTAATGCCCTATCAAGCAGCTTTTTCTGCCTTCTGCTAACAACCTTTTGCATCCCAGCAAGCTGCCAGTTGAGAGTAGAAAGCGCCCATCATTCATCCATAGTTTCATGCAAAGCGGTGGAGGATTCATTTCCTCTTCCTCTATCTAAAGGCAAGAGCTCAGAGTCAAATAGTGTCCCTTCTGTTTCATCCATGACACACGACATAAACTATTATCACCTATCACCATCACCATCACCCTATCTCAACTATGTCCCACCTCCCTGAAGTCTCTGACCCTGCCCAAAGCCAATTATTCATCACACACAAGCTCCAACCTGGCTCAATAGGACTCTGCAAGAATGTAAAAGGAAGATGTCTTGCATTCCCTCCAATTTGGCTAGTCCTCCTCATGGGAAAACAGGCTTTTTGTTTGCACTTTTTTCATAAGCAGACTTTTATACAGACTTATTGTATTCCTTTTCATCTGCAATGCCTCATCCATTCACATTGGGACTTAATCAAGATGCAAAATTTGCAATGTCTTGGGGATTCCATCATCAGGATAGCTCAGTCTTATGAAATCATGTATTGGTCATATTCACAGGATGACAATCAATCATGATGAATGATGGTTGCATGCCCAGACTCAGGAAGGAGAGATTTTGTTGGAGTGAGTGCAAGGCGCTGTTGAGTGAGGAGGCTGGATCGTTTTGTCAGCTCCCGCAAGGCCACTGTTGCATATGAGGAAGAGCGTAAAGTCATTCTCAATACCAACCCTCTCCTCTCTCCCCCTGCCATCAACAAAGAACACTGCCATTCCTCAAACTCATCAACTTCTCACCCTATGTATTCTCTATCCTAACATATAGGGTGGCCCGGAAGTAATAGGGCAGTTAGTGGTACAATCAGCAGTCACTACAATTTTTACTTGCAACCTTTATGTTTAGTGATTATGAAATTAAAATAAATATCAATTAATAATCAAAATAATAATTATAAATTATAAATGATAAAATAATGATAAAATTGTAGTGACTGTGATTGTACCACTAACTGCCCTATTACTTCTGGGCCACCCTGTAGATCTCAATGGTACTAGGATGAAGGGAAAATAACATACCTTGATATGCCAGAGACCTCCCTCGTAATCGATCCAAGTCAGAGAGGAGAAGATTGGCATCTGCTTCATGATATGATATATGTTCCCACTGAAAACCCTGTGGCTTCACCACTAATGCACGATAAGCTCCTGTCAAGTGATACTTCTCACTATAAACACAAACACAGGGATTCTTGGCAGCTCATGTACTTCAATAATTAAAAAATGTCAACCTATTCATAGTGAAAACTAGTATATAGATTGACATGGATATGAGCAAGACACAAGCTAAACTCATTTGGTGGAATTCTTGGGAAAAAATACATTTATTGCAAATTTTTAGCCCTTAAATTTGTCAACTGTGGGTAAGATATCAGCTGAAAACAGTCTTCCTCAATCTGACCCAATTAGCACATGTAGCCCTCAACCTGGGTCAGGAGCCATGTCACTGAGCAGAAATGCCAGTTCCCTTCCAGACTTAGTTGCTGACAGATCCATTAGTGACAAATGGAGAGGGACACTGTAAATGATAGCTATGTGGTCATGGATGTTAGCTAAACTCATGAAATGCTACATCTGACAAGCTAATATGTAATACTCTTCCCATCTCCCAATCTCTACCAACTTGCCAGAGACATCTTGTTGAATCAGTCCTGGAAGCAATTCTGCTACATTCATTACATCATACGGGGAATCCATGAAGTCACTAGTCTGAAAATCACTAGTTCTTTCTGGATATATTGCAGAACAATGAACTTTTGCAGCTTATTAGAGAACAAGGGGCATTCAGTATGTTTTGGCAACATATTTTATTTCCCCATCAGTAAAAGCTGCAAGCTCCATAATTGAATATTCCCTCAGGATACTCTCTCCCAACATCTACACAAAATTGCATCTTTATCAGCTACTTATTTAAGTGCATACAATATTCAAATTGAGGTACTCTTTGCAGCTGTGAATTTGGCATCACAGGACAACTCTCAAAAGTATAAAAATTTACTCCCTACATGCCTTGACTTGAAAAGAGAAAATAATGAGAGAAAATATTCCTGTATACAGTAGCCTTGCAGCAAATACACTAGAAGGCAATTGGTCCCAATGCATAGCTTACTGAAATGGCATATTTCATGCAATGAGGAATATGGCCAAACTTTCAATTCTCTGTGGAAGAGCATACCTCAGTCTAATTTTTATGGATGTATTAATAAGTCTCTGATAAGGATACAATGCTGCATGGATGGTTGGGTGAGAGTATCCTGAGGGAATGAGCAAGGATGAAGCTTATAGTTCTGGCCAATAGAAAATAAAATTGTGTTGCCAAAACATATTGAGTACCTCATGTATGATATGAAGTTTTTAAATATGTAAGTTGAGCCGTTAAAGGGCTATTTGACCTGTTAAGTAAAAGATGGAGAGATAGAAATGTAAAAATTCACATGAACAAAGTTAATTTCCTCCTCTTTCATATCTAAGGGCAAAAAATACTTTTGGTAGAGTGAATGATGAGGAGTTCTTCAGTGGATGATCTGGATCTTAGAAAGTTGAGCAGTTGTGGAGTCAGACACATTTTGTGCTGAGTTACAAGTAAGAAACATTCAGCTATCATTTCCTTCTTGTAAAAAATGATGGTTTTTACAGCATGAGAACTGAGGGCTCCAGCCTCCAAATGTGATGGAAACCGCTTGACAAATCTGGAAGAAATTAATCAGAGAAACCATCATCTGCAAGTTGTTTGCCCGTATCAACTCAAATTTTGACAGGACAAGAAACATAGCAGACCTTCCCTGTTCTGGACACACTGACCGTTGAACAGAAAATTAGACATAGTGCAGCACGCATGTTTCTTGCAGCTGACAGTTTTCTCTGATCAGTTTCTTCCAGAATTGTTGAGTGGTTTCCATTGCATTCGGAGCAATCCAAACTTTTGCAACTCGCTTATCAATGATCAAATGCCTATCAGCCATTTTCCTCAATCCCCATGAATTGGAATCGATCACAGCCAAGGCACAATAACTCTCACACTTGAACAGACAATTGGATGCAGTGTCACAAGCATGTTTTCATGTGCCAGTGCCTATGTATAACCCCCAGAATAGGAATTTAATTTCCGAATGATACCATTAGCAAAATAATGCAAAAATCCTTCACTCGATGCAGAATTGTCTAGTCTTTCAAATGGTGAAAACAGCATTTCAATGAGATCAAGCGTTGAAAAGTTATTCATGTTCAAAGGGTGGGCAGGACTTTTGACTCACCCAGTATATATATATATATATATATATACACTGGGTTAGCCCAAAGTTCTGGAACATGGCAAATTTGAATTTACTCAGGAAGTATTAGAGGTATCAAGTTCAAATTTTTCATAGAATGTTATTAGATATCAGAGTACATGTGGCAAAAAAAACTATTCAAAATGGCCTCGCTTGATGACACGCTGGAGACGTCCCTTGAAGGCGTTGGCCAAGGTGAACATATAATCCATAGGCATTTTGGCCCACTCCTTGGTCAGGGCCGACTTGAGGGAGTCCAGATTCAGGTGGCTGATGATAGTGGCCTTGGTCTCCAATTAGGTCTGCACAGAAAAGTCCATGTGGTTCAGATTGGGGGAAGAGGAGGGCCACTCCTCCTTGCTCAGAAATCCAAAATCTTGTTTTTTTTTCAGCCAATCCTGAGTAGCCTTGGCAGTGTGTGCTGGGGCACTGTCTTGCATCAAGGTCCAGTGCTTCTTCCCAAATGTATTCTTGTCCCAGGGAGTGACCACATCCACATCAGGATGGTGAACATCTCCTCTGTGAAGAGAATGTCTTTCAGATCACCTTTTTTCAGCTTTTTTAACATTTCTTTGGCACAGGCAAGCCTCCTGGCCTTTGTGTTCTTGTGTTCTCAGACAAGACCTGTCATTTCTGGAGGGTTAAGGACTGCATCTTGAGGTCATATCGGACCAATTTCCTTATTGTTGTAGCAACCATGCTGGACTCATTGGCCATCTGGGCCATGCTCCTCTGTGGATTCCATCAAATCTTGTCTCTCATGGACCTGATGGTCTCAGGGGTATGTTTGGACCTCGGACGACCACTCCTTGGACGGTCAGCAGTTGAGCCTGTCTCACTGAACCATTTCAGGGTCCTCCAAACAAATTTCCTATCGATGGCAAGGCCCTTAAGTTCCTTCACAATCTTGCCGGGATGCCTTCGAGCTGCAGAACTGCCTCTCTTTTGGCCTCCATTTCCAGAAGGAGAAATCCAATCTTTTGTTTTTTTGCAGAGCCAACAGAGTAAACAAACTAAAAAAAATTGTTTGAACATTTTTCCTTCACTCCTGCAACCATGCAAACAACAAAGAATATTGATGTTCCAGAACTTTGGGTGGACCTGGTATATATAGATATATAGATTTTTTTTTGGGGGGGGGGGGGGGGGGGGGGGGTAACTTGCAGCTTTTTCAGGCCCATTATCAGAGAAAGGAGGAGGGAAAGGGTGTGTGGTGTGGTTGAGAGGATGGAGGTACTCACTTTCTTCCTGCATATGTCTGATCAAATGTTATAAGATTGGTTGCACCCTTTGGTACTACCCATTGGACAGCATCCATGCAAAATTATAGAGAAACCAAAATTTCATGAATCCGATTTGACAAAAGCAGGTTTATTCCTGTAACCAGGAAAATAAGAGCTCTGTATAAGTGTGTTAATGGTAAAGTTTGAACCAATGATAAATTCTATATTTTGGTAAGGCTTGGTGTTCCAGAAATTCTCCAAAACTATGGAAAGTTGCAAGATGAAATTTGGCATGGCCATAGCTAGACAGAAAATAGAGAAGTAAGAATTCATTAAAAGCTTTCAATTCTAAGGTCATACTGTTCTCTGGCCCTGACTCTGTTTACTGAACATTTAACCCATTAAGATCCATTTATTTGTTATGCTATGGAGATAGTCGGACTATGCCTGACAGAGGATTGCAAAAGGGTTAAAAGCATGAATGAAGACTACAGGTGCAAGGAGGGCTTTTGTGGCACAAGTGGTTGAACTGGTGGCCTTCTTTAGTTGTGTCTTTCTATGTTCTACTACAGCAAGCAATCCTCTCCTTTCTCTAAGTCCTAAGGCTAAGTGCAGTGAGATCTCATTTTATTCTATGACTTGTTTAATGAAATCTTGCTCCATTTTGGGAGTTTCCAGACCTTATGGACACCTCCCTGGCTACGTTCTTGCTCCAGGGCAATTTATATGATTTTGCATTGCAATTTTTCAACACTGTTAATATACTCTCATGGGTGAAATGGGTTTATTTTTATTTTTTCTCCATCCATTTCAATAATGAAATTGTCATATTTGAAATGGCTCTTATCAAAATGTATAGGGCAAATGACATATTTATGCAGCAGTGCACAATTTTTTCAGAGATCCACCTGCTTTCCAATGCATTCTCTGCTGTGCAGGAGAGACTAACATGTACTCACTCAGGTTTTCCCTGATTGTTGGTACACCCAAAAATACCAAGGGATAAAAGAAGGAACAAGTCAAAGAGCTAAATGAGATATTCCTGGGCTCAATCTCCAAGGGAAAGTAGAGAATTATAACCTGCAAGATTGCTGATGCCTTTGGAAGAAATGTTCTAATAATGTTATTGTAACAGAGGCATCAAACTTTTTTGACAAGAATCAGATTTCCTCTGCTGTCTCAACATGTGAGACAAAAACCTCCCTTCCTACATCAACAGGTAACAGATCCCTTTCTCAACCTTATGCTACATTTTTTATGGACTTCTTTTAATAGCTCCTCCTTAATGGTAGAGAAGAATAGATGGTAGATGGAAGATAAAATGACAAGACTTATGAACTGACTGGATGGTCCCTCGGAAGGCATCAAGGGAAAAGCCATCCTTGGCGAGAGTCTCCTGTAGCCAGGTGTGCATGTCATTGTTGGGATACAGGACCTCAGATCCAGGCAGAGGGAAAACAACTGATGTGATGGGAGTTCTCACTGCCTCAACTTCCTCCACATACCTCACCTTTGGCTTCTTCCACTTCTTCCTGTTCATTTCCTGCTCTTCCCTCTCCACTTCCATAGCCCCTTCATCTTCACCATGGGTACAAGTCAGCACATATTCAGTGGAAAATGACATTTCACAATTAATTTATCCTTTGCTTCCAATGAGAAGCCATGAAAAGAAAGCATGAGCTAAGACTTTCAGCACATTATAGGCCTAAAGAAAAGAGAATAGAGCTTGATGACCTCCCATAAACCTGGTATTGGCAATTAAAGTGGTTTCTTACTCAGAATGAATTTGACAATTGAATGGCTAAAATTGTGTCAATCAATCACTCAATCCCCTCTCAATATACAAACAACTCCATCTTCATAGCAGAAGGGAGAACTTGCGAGTGGTCCAAGTAATTCATTAGCAATACTGGCATAAGAAGTACACTTTTAGTTGCCATTTAATGTTTTGTTCTCATGAACTTGTCTGAAAAGTATATCTGATACACGATGTTCGTGAACAAGCTCTCAATTAAGCAGTGCCACCAAACCTCCCCAATTAAGGTTTTTTTTTTAAAGCAATTGCAGTTAATTTTGCTGGTCAAATCCAGCTGGTAGGTTGCTGCTTATCAATTACTGCTCAATCACTGCCTTGAGGGTTATGGCATTCAATACCATCTCACTCACAGCCACTACAACAATGAAGTGCACAATCTGTTTCATGAATACATAATCCCAATAATACATTCCAGTATTTCAATACTTCAGTTAAGACAGATCATTATCCTCTTGTTTGCTCTCATTTGGCCAAGAGTGGTCTACTAGAGATAAACACATCCTATTCAGGAAGAAATTATTTAGGAAGATACAGAATGTTTCATATTTAAATTCCTGATTAGAAATAGCATTACCTCCAGTCTATTCTTACCTTACATAACAAACAGTGCAATATCTCAATTTAGTCATTTTTCATGGCTTTAGCCCCTTCACCTTTCAGGGCATAGATGTTATCCCTGTTATTCGATAAAAAGCCTTTCCTTACCACTTCATTCTGTATGAGTCCTTAGACCCCAGTTGGAAACATGTCTATTTTGGGTTAATTTTAGCCCATTACCACTCCCAACATCTCTATGCACCATCAAATGAAGAACACAAACCAAGAGGAGGAGAAGGTTCAGATGAATCCAAACAGATGAGATCTCCAGGCAAGACTTGGTCATGGTAATGTTGAAATCGTTGAGTCACAACCACATTCCATACATAGCTCTGATATGCATGAGCATACATCAATCTCATGTGCCGAGGCAACTGCAAGAATAGATTCAATACAAAAAAACTCTATCGTTACTCCACTATTTTGCAGCTATTCAAAAGGGATGGCTACTGACCTTGTCAAGAGCACCAAAATAATTATTGGGTTCCTTGGCAAGGCTTCCAAGGAGAGACCCTTCAAGAGATGCCTGGTACTTCTTGGACTTCAATGCTTCTAATGCTTTTTTGGCATCCCTTGTTTCCCACCAAGTCTTTCTGGCTTGGTTCAATTCCATGAAATGGTCATTTCTCGGGCTATTGCGTGGTTTCAAGATAAGTTCCACTGCCTGAAAGACATCACACTACTAGTCATTTCATCTCTACCAAAAACATGGCATTTCTACAGTCATGAAACACATACCTCCTTCCAGTTGCTAGAGAGGATTGCCTTTCCAACTTCATGTGTTGGAATCTCTGTGGAGCCAAAACGCTGCATCCCAAAATAGTTGATGAATCCGTTATTTTTTAGAGATTGCAGAGATGATTCCACAATGTCTTTCTCACCTTGTACTTCCCTATATGCATGAACCATTCATAACTAAATTGCTTGTTCTTTGCTATGAAAATTGAGAGGGGGAGGACTGTTTAAGGAGAGGCAAACCTGAGGATGATGTGGAATTGGTTACCCTGAAGGTCTCCAAGAAGAATAGGTTGAGTTTTATAAGAATAATTCCCCAGAGTCATATTCTGAAGTCCTTTGGAGATAGCAGCAAGCCGCTCAGCTGTAATATGGGCCACAGACATAGTCTGCACTGTCTTTCCTCGCTTATCCTTCACGCCTGCATACCCAAAATGCTTCTCTTTGGTCCTGTCATTGAGAATCCTCCTTAATCCTTGACTTTTTAATGTTGATACACAATCATAAACATACAATATGAATCAATGGAATATTGTCCCACCTCAGCATGGAAGCAATTCGACGAACAGCATTCACTGTATCTATGTTCTCTTTGTATAAGTAGAAGTGGGTATGTTTGGGACGGTTCCTCTTCCAGCGTCCATGATCCTTTCTACCTGTAGAGCGATGTTGGTTTTAAATAGTGCCTTGTCTGGTCAAGTAAGAACTGGAAATATGAGGAAAGAGGGAGACTTCAGCTCACTATTACTGTTCTTCAGTTCCACAGTCAAGGATTTGATACCATCTATATCTTCAGTCTTTGTTTCCAGGTTTGCATGGCATTGCTTGATGGCAAGATGCATTGTCTTTCTGGCTTCCTTGTCAATGCCTTCCACCTGTGAAAAGCAAACCACCCTACAAGATCATTTCATGAGTCTTGCCTTCAAGGTCATGATGGCCCTATGGGAAACATGCTACAGGCTCACTGAAAGATGGAAGCTCTTCAGATTCCCTTGTGCAACTTTCTGGATTTCATCCCAGGCAGCTTTTGGAAAAGCAGATGAAACATCTTGCCCTGAAAATGAAATGATAATTTTTCCAAATGATAGGTATCATTTTAGGGAAGGGTCTGAGTCCTGTCACAAATACCAACTCTTCAAGAGATTAAAACCTGACTTTGAGCAATTATTGGTATCCATGAGATATTTATGTCTAGGTATTATTTATGAAGGGATGGATCAAAGGATCAAGGCAAGAGAATTTCAAAGACAAGTTGAACCTACCTTCCAGAGGGGATTCATCTTCCATATCTTCAGGAGGATTCAAATCCGTGAGATGCACAATCTTCCCATCCACTTGCTGCTCATAAACTTGAAAATCAGATATCCTGAAATTATACCATTTCAGAATGACCCCTATGTATAGGATTCATCAAAACTGGAACTGCTTGCAATAGGTATACCACTGGTTAAAATATTTTTTTTGTGATTTATTCAATTTTATTATTTTCAGAATTCATGAATTTCTCATATGTCCCCTGCTCATGAAGATTAGCACATTTAGCAAGTAAGACAACATGAAGGCATGTAGGTCTGAATGATGAAACTTTTAGGTAGTATATGGTCCTTTAAAAATCCACAGATCCTACTGAAAAAAAGAGTTCCTTAGCTTCAAGGCCCTTTTACCTCAACTATCTGATTGGAAAGAAAGTTCTCGGAATTTCATGAACAATTATTACAATCCAGTTTATTTAAAAGCAAAATCATCTCAATCGTGAATGTAATCACCATTGGCCTCTATCACTTCATGCCAACGTTTATGCAAACTATGGATGCCATTCCAATAGAACTCTGGCGGCTGCGCTACGAAAAAGTTGGCCAAATCGGTTTTCAGGTTGTCTTGGTTGGCGTACTGCTTTCCACCCATGTGACGGTCCAGGGCAACGAAAAGGTGATAATCGGACGGGGCAAGGTCGGGGCTGTAGGGCGGATGCGGCAGCACCTCCCAGCACAGGTCCAGTAACTTTAGATGAGTCTGTCTAGTGGTGTGTGGCCGGGCATCGTCGTGGAGGAGGATGGTTCTCTGTCTTTCTGGGCGTGTTTCAGCCAGTTTCTGCTGCAGCCGATCGAGTTGCTGGCAGTAGTAGGCAGCAGTGATGGTGGTGTTTTGCGGCAACAGCTCAAACATGATGATGCCTTTCGAATCCCAGAAGACCGAGAGCATAATCTTTTTGGGGTGCAACTCCTGACGGGGTTCTCTTTCGGCCGATGCTCCGGCGTCCACCCACTGACGTTTTCGTCGAATGTTGGCATAGAAGGTCCACTTTTCGTCGCCTGTCACCACTGAGTCTAGCCAATCCGTTCGGCGCGAACGTGACAGAAGGGAGATGGCCATGTCTACTCGTCGCTGGCGGTCCCGATCATCCAGCTTGTGGGGTACCCAGCACCCCAACTTTGCCTTCTTGCCAAGCTCAGCCAGATGATGAAGGATAGTTGTATGGGAGACACCCAGCAAGTCCGCAAGCTCTCGCGATGTTTGCCGGTTGTTGGCCTCCAGTGCCTCCTGCAAGGCAGAGTTATCAAACTCCGAAGGACGACCGGTGCGTGGCTGGTCTTCCAGGCTTTCATTTCCTTTCTGGAAGCGACTGTACCAATCATAGGCAGTGCTCTTGGACACAGTGTCCGGGCCAAACGCGGTATTGATGTCAGCGATGGAATTGGCTGCCTTCTTCTTGATTCGGAAGTCATAAAGAAGAAGCAGGCGAACTTGCTCCTTAGTAAGAGGGTAGGGCTGGTTCATGGCTGGAGAGCACCAGGGCTGTAATAATATACGGTTGTATGCCGAAGGACACAACCTACTTATAAACACACGCAGAACATTCTAGCATGCTCTGGAAAAAAATTGTACTGGATATTCAAGAAATTCCGAGAACTTTCTTTCCAATCAGATAAATGAGGTTTCAGTATCCAGGCTGATGGAATTCTAGATCTGAGTCTCAGTCAAATATACATGGCATGTAAATAGATGCAGTAATATTCAAACATAAAATACATACAAACAGCAGTTGCAAATTTGAGCTACTTAGGTGTAGCTTTCATGAAGGATACTTGCAAAGAGCCTGAAGGGACTCGCATTGGAAGAGTCACATGCTTAACTAGTAACTAACTTTATTTACTCTCAACTGCCATTCACCAGGAAGGTCTAATTACTGTTTATCTGTCAAGGATTCAGTGATTTACTTTTCTGAAACAGGGAAATGTCTTTTCCATCAGTAACATCAGACAGTGGACTGAAAATATGTGCTCCCCCCTTCCATTGACAGAATTCTTCCTGAGATTAGTTTTGCAAGACTTACAAGCACAATACCTTGTGTTTGGAAATGTTTCAAAGGCTACATTCCACTTAACATGTAGGAATTCTTTGGATACAAAAAGCAAACTCACCTGCTACATGACCTACTTCTTTAGAGGCTATAACATCCATGAATGTAACAGAAACTTTGCAAGTACCCTTAGTCCTATACCACTCATGATTCAGTCAAATGAAATAATGAAATACTTCTGGGCTACCTTCAAGTTCTTCAAATGCACTTATTGATAAATCCCATGCTGCAAGACAATATCATTAATATAACTGTAAAAGGGTAAGGCATAGACCCTTCAGCAAAGGTTCCAGGTCTATCCATGACAATGCAAGAGCCAGCATTTCTGACCCAGATTTTCAGTAAATCACAAATTATTTCAGTATAGTGAACCCTATGAAAAAAATTAACTACAACATCCCCAGTGAGCCTCCTGACTAAAGGAATATACTATACTCACAATATTTATTTATTTATATGTGAATAGCATGCTATGCTAACATTCTTCATATACGTGGGCCACTCAGAAAAGTTTTGAGATTTGCAAGGAGAAATTGATGAAATTTCATTTCAACATCTACAGCTTTTTGAAGTGCTCCTCAAAAGATTCCATACAGCATTTCACCCTTCAAAGCCATCTCTCAGAGCAACTATGCCATTCCTCCCTTGCCACCTCAGAAACTGTTTCTTCATGGGCAACGGCAGCATCTTCTGGACTTGGGAACAGCTTCCCTTGCAATGAATCTTTGACCCTTGTGATCAAAAGTCATCATAAGGGACCTAAAAAGGCCTTTAGGGTAGAAGGGTAACCAGGTGAACAAGAGTTTCTTCCTGTTAGGCCACAGTCCTTGTTGACTTGCTGCTGGAGGAATCGTTGTGATGCAGGAGGGGGCCCTGGAGCCCAGGGGGTGGTCTTTTTTCTTGCACTTTTTGGGAAACTTTGGGCAGGCACAGTGTGATGTATGACTCAGCATTCACTATTATTCAGTCCTCAAGAAAACTGTCGCCACACGACCACTGACAATAGAGAAAGTGGCAACCATCTTCTTCCCCTCTTCACTGTGGTGGGGATGTTGTCCTAATGGAACACTCAAATTGCCTATTGCCCCTTTGTTTCTGGGTCTTACTAGTAACTCCATGACACCTCACCAATATCGATGTCAAAGCTTAATTCTGAGTATTCATGAAAAGTTTAGAGCACATACTTGCAACATTCCTCTTGGACCCTTTTTGCAGATCTGGCAATTTGTGGGGGCCCCAACAGCAAGAGATTTTCCCAACTCAATAAAATCTATGCAGGATTTCTGCAACATTCCCCAATCCAATGTTCAGGCACTCCTCAATACCATGATGTATGTACAGGGTGGGCAAAAAAACCAATACCTGTTTTAAAAAATTCATATCTCCTAAATTAATAAGGCTACGGAGATGAAAAAATACCAAAATAAAGTTAATTCAATTTTCTTTATAATGATTTGGTGGTTTTTGTCAAACGGATAATTATTATTGCCATAATTAGCATTTGAAAAAACTTACCCCCCAAAAAAAGTTGCACAACTGAATTTCTACAAATGATACTTCATTTCTCTTTTACTTCTTGACAGTATGCATTGTCCTGCATGAAAAAATTATTTTCCCAGTTCATCTAGCCACAAATGGTTCGATATGGCCACCACTTTGCCGTAAAACAGCCTGCAATTGTCCTCACCATTTACCAATAGCTTTCGCAACTGAGGTTTGGTGGACTTCTTCCCACGTGGCCAAAATTCGTTCCTTCAACTGCGCAACCATACGAATTCTCTGTCCACTTTTTCTTCTAAAGCAGACCACATGAAATAATCTGCAGGATTCAGATCGGGACTGTGGGGTGGCCAATGGCTCAATGAAGTCCGCACAATTTGGCTGGGGGAGGAATGGTGAGGCAACGATAGGAGAAAGATGAAGTTGAATGTTTTCAGTATGAGATTGCTGTGCAGTAACAAGAAACAAAAAAAATAAACAGCAGAGGAGGTGATGAATCCAGGCAACTTTCTTTTTGTGCAAGTTTATTTTGGGGGGAAATTTTTTTCAAATGCTAATTATGGCAATAATAATTATCATTTGGCAAAAACCACCATATCATTATAAAGAGAATTGAATGTACTTTACTTTGGTATTTTTTTCATCACCATTGCATTATTAGTTTAGGAGATATGAATGAATGATTAGGGGATCATCTTCAATGCTGGTTCTTCCCCTCTTAAACTCAGCAAAGCAGCGCAAAACTATGGATATGGAAGATGCTCTGTCCCGAAATGTAATAAGTAAAAGGGCAAGATACTGCACTTAATTTAAAGCACTTACCTGGTCATAGAGAACCATGACACAGAAATGCTCCCTGGTCAATTCCATGGTGCTGATTAAGAGAACGCCTACATTCCTAACTTAAAAAAATTCCAGAAAATACAGTTCTACTGGAATCATGTTGAAACTTGTTCTCAAGGGTTAGAAAAAAAAAAACATTTTCCACTCTGTTTAAATCAGTAATCTCTATGCCATCCAATTTTTGCACATGTTGAAACTTTCTGAGTGACCCACATAAATGTTTTATGAGTAGGAAAGATTAACCCTAAGAGAATTGCTGAATAATATTCCTTATGGGGACACAGAACAGAAAAAAATACTCCTGAAAGATTGTCAATGGAGAAGTGACAAAGATATTCAAGTAAATAAATGAGAGCAAAAAAAACTCATATCTCATGAACACCTTTGAACATATGCTCATTATCAACTTCAAATTTTCAAATTAAGGATTGCTTTGTGCTGCAGGCCAAAATTTTGAATTTGTGTACATCATTGAGATAATTACCTTAATGTTGGCCAAAGAAGATGAGTATTGCTACAGAATTCTGTAGCATAAATTTAAAATCACCTTAGGCCTCAGGTTCTTCATATGACAGGCTCAGCCACTGTATAGTTATAACAGAAAAGAAATGTTGACCTAGGCCTAAGAAGAACAAAGTGAACTTGATCCAACATATCAAAGTTCAGGATTTACCCCAGGCTAGTTAATGATCAATCATGGCACGAAGGCTGAATGCAACACTGGACATGTTACATATGAGAAGTAACTTGTTGCAATTAGAAGCATTCCATCCTAGAAGTAGTTACAAGTATAATTTCTTCTCACTGACAGTAACTAGTTACAATTTACTTTACCAGAGCTCTGTCAACATGGAACTAGTCTTCATACTAGCAGTATTCCAGTGTATCACAAAAATGTCCATCCAAACTTTGTATTGCATCTTAGGAAGGGTTTGCACAAGCTGGTGTAGAAGCATGAAAGATGCTCAGTGCGAGAAATCTTCTCCATAGACGATTCATGTCCATGAGATTACACCCATGAAATAGAGCCCTGTGTTTTCATGGAAGCATGCAAAAACCGTTGGCTGACACTCTCCCAGAGATACAAACATGTGATGCACTCATGCATCAAGCCTGCTCTTAAAGATGGTGCAATAAATTCTTTGTAACAGGTGTACAATTTTCCCACTTACATTAAATAACCTCTCCAGTGGCACCAGTTGGTTTGGGTGCATTGCACTGAAACTCTGTTTTCAGCCTTAAATTTGATTTTAGTGGTGGCAAGGATGATTGTTATAATACAGCACTCATCACTTTCATCTGAAGTTGAGTCTGTCATCAAGAAAGTAAAACATTAAAGTAACGCCTCTGACTATTTCCTTCGGATAAAAACTAGTAACTGTTTCCTTTATTAATCTCTGCAAGATAACTTGTTACCATGGAAATTCCCATAAAATGTGATTAGCTATTGTAAAATGATACTTTTACTTTGCTACCACTCAACACTGGCTAAGTGATAGGCCTATGGGATACAGTATATAGGTCTAACTGGATCTCAATTCTTGACAAACCTCTGCTTGATGAAAGCCATGAATCCTGGATGGTCCCCAAGGAATGCTGAGATGCCAACATCATCTTCTTTTATCCAAACTACAGCTTTGTCCCCCTCTAATTCTGAAGACTTGTTATCATGAGATTTGACTGATTCCTTTCCTTCATCCAGCTCAGAGGGGAGAGTGGCATCTTTTTTCAAACAATCTTCAATCACCTCAGAGGTGACTCTTATCCTCTTCACTTCCTTTTCAGGATCAAGTTCTAATGCTCTCTTTGAACTCTCCATGGTTTCTAGCAGTTTATACATGAATGGGAAAGAAGTGAGAGATAAGAATGGTCCTGGCAATTCTGTGAGGTTGTTCTTTGTATGCCTCTCCATTGGCAGACATCCTTTTTAAGTTCTTAACATTAGAAATTTGCAGGAGCCCAAGAGCCTGAGACACCAAGGTACTAGGTCAGACTTCTATGCACTATGGTAACCTCCACCTCAGGGACTCCTGTGAATGTTGAACCCTGCTTCCTTTGTTATGCTAATCACATCTAGTGAATTCCATGTATGTTATCCAAATGGAAATGAGTTTGGAAATTTTCAGGACATAATTACTATTAAATTAGCTTATTTTAGACAATGATTTCATGAATACTAATAAGTTTTCCAACTTTAAACAGAAAACTATTTTGAATTCTAGTTTATTTAATGCTTTTGAAACTTGTCCTTGTTAGTATTGACTGTTATGTTCTGAAAGATGTGAAAGATCCTGAAATGATAATGACAGATTTGAGTAAATTGAACATGTTTCCAGCAGCTCATATGGGAGCATATGGGTCCAACCACATCTCTGCCAGCCTCACAACCTTTGAATCAACTTTTAGCATCTGACAAATGCAAGTGAGCTGCTACTTTCATTATATACATATAAGAAGAGCCTATATATGAAAACTTATCCCCCATTGCTATCACTAGTAAGTACCAACTTGGCAAGTTGGTACAATAGTCAGCTACAGACCAAAATTAAATGATAAGAAATTCTTTTTTTCCATCTTTGTCTCCCCCCTTAGGTTCATGATTTCTTCTCTTGGAGTGTGACACTAACCAAAGAGAGAAAACTTTTGACATATCAGGAAGAAGATAAACTTATGTTTCAAGAGGGCTTTTGAGCAAATAGGTCTTATTTTGGAACTTAACTGTTTCAGTTTAAATTGCATTATAGACAATGCAGTGTACAAACTTTTCCTGCCCTAGATAGGAGACTGGCTCAAGAAAGAAATGTCTGAGAATGCAGGGTCAAAGACTTTTCACATCAGTCAGTAAAGAAGAAAGAAAAAATCTAAAGATGAAAGGTGAAGACAACTATTTAAGGTGCAATAATATTTATTCAGCTTTCAGTTATTAGCAGATATCAAGAAAATTTTATATAAAGGGGAGATACAAGATATGAAATGCTGATATCCAATAAAGGGTCCAGGTTAAGTATGGGGAGGGATAATGAAAAAAAATGGTAGTGGTGTATAAAGATATTATCGTGACATGGGATTTTGGATGGTTACCATTACCTGTTCAATTCATTCAAATCAATGTACTGCTTGCATCTCAATGAAGTACATGAATGACTACACATGTATTTGATGATGAAAAGATGGGCATTTATTCTTCAGTTTATTAGATGGCAAAGCTAACAGAATGTAGTCCACTGAAACATAACCTGAACAATGTGCGATTTTACATGTGGGCTTAAGCCTTCCCTGAGGCTAAAGCAAAAGCATATCTATCCCTGCCGCAGAATACAAGACGAAGCTCTGCTAGAAAATGCGGAAAAGTCGCCTGTTCATCGCAGAGGCTACAAATGATCTGTTTATTCAGCCTCACTGGTAAGGGATCTCAGTTGGTTATTTTCATCATCCTTCGGGCCAAATGACAAAGAATGAATGACTAAGTTAGATAATGAGTTTACTAAGACCGTTACGCAGCTTTTTCTACCAAACCGACCGATGAAGTTGAGTCGAAAGTCGAATAGTACCTATGGGAGATGCACACGTGGTACAAGCACTGAGCTAAGAAATAGAACTGGAGGTGGCGCACAATACAATGGATTTGGGGCAATTGGAAGCCATCTTAGTTGGGTCTGTGGTGGCTCTTCTCCATTCACTACAATGGGATTTTCATATCTCAAAGGTAAACATAGGCTAAAGGAAACGAAGGGCGACCACGAGGTGCATGGTAGAGGTGTTGGCGGGTATTGGCAGGGCATGCTTCCGTATTCAGAAGTGCTGCTCCAGTGTTCCCGCGGTACCTGCTCCATTACTCGGCCAATGCTCACCGCAGGCCCGCTTTAGCCTAAACCCAACCAATATGGCTTCAAAATGCACCCGTTTTCCCATGCTACTCCTATGGCCGCGCCATCTCCAGTTCTATTTCTTAGCTCAGTGGGTACAAGTGCGCCGCCATATAAGCGGAAGCACGAGGAATCCAAATCTGCTTTTCTCTCTACTTTAGTTGAAAGTGGATCATGGAGTCCACATATTAACTCGCCATGGCGCTGGGCTATTTGGTGCATAATAGCAGGATGATGACTTCCTGAGACTTTGCTGGCGCGATTGGGAAATACGATATTCCTTCGTCTTGTTCACACTGTCCATTCCTGTGAACACTGTATATGAATCTCAACTTCGTTATGTAAACACCAGTTGCATAGCTATCGAGTGTGCAGACGGCGTAGCTGCACAGGCCCACGGGCCGGAGGGGCCCAGGTACCGAGCTACGACAGGGGGAGGGAGGCGTTAGCTGGTTGGCTGGGAGCCCCTTGGCATGGGAACGAAGTGAATGCTGGGAACTGAAAAGGAAGGTCAAAATCAAAGACCTGGTCAAAATGAAGCAAAGGAATTCTACGCGACACTGCACAGAGACATCTCGCAACTGGATCGTAGGATTAAATGAAGTGGTGGCCACTTTTAATGCTATTCGCCCTTCCACACTGACTTCAGCTAGCATTGACAGTGGCAACCACGGAGCGCTCCTTTTCGAAACTCAAAATTTCAAAAGTCATGAGAAGTATGACGCAAGAACGACTCAGCCTTGCTCCTTTATCCATAGAATATGAACGTGCGAAGAAATTGAATGACTCCAAAATCGTCGATGTCTTTGCTTGGGAAAAAGCGGGGAAGAGGCCACTTCACTTGGTGAGTACCAATTTTTACGCCATGCCAGTAATTACATAACTCAATAATAAGAAATTGGACAAGGGGCCCCTTTCATTCATTGACCCAGGGCCCATGTCAACCATGCTACGCCACTGGTGAACACTAATTTCCAATGAGGACTGAATCTCCACTCCCACGTTCAACGCGAAACGCGCTGCTCTACGTAACGGCGAGAAGGATAGAACGTCCATCAGACCTTCTCGCCCTTGCGCAGAGGAGCTTGCGATTGCCTTTTTCCTTCCAATCAAACATCGGTATACCTCAGACATCTGCGAACTTCACCTACTACGGTATACCCGAACTTCTATCCTTTGTCAGGTTGCGCAGGTTTCACTTGTCACCGGCAATCCCTTCTCACAAGAGAGCAACTTCGTTGTTCGCCTTTGACATAAATAGTAATTTGAACATGTAAGTGTGGGGTAAGCAAATGGCCCTATATTCCTGTGATAAGTCCATGTTCACAAATTCTTGTGCAGAAATATCAACATTTCCACATTTTCAGAGAGAAGGACGGTCCTCCTCTCTTCCAGAATTTGTCCAGCGCTCGAAAAACTCTCTCGCTTGGAGCCGAACTTGCCGGAGCGCAAAGCACCTTCTTTGACGCTTTTTTCAGTTCAGGAAATTCCTTTTGATTTTTCCAGAAAGTGAGTAGGGTAAAATACCCAGTGTTGGGCCACAGCACATAAAAATTCCAGCAGTTAAGCTTCCATAGCATACCCCTGTAGTGACAAAAGCTAGCAACATGCAAGCATATACACCAGGGCCGGATTAAGAAGTTGCGAGCCCCAGGGCAAGTGGATTCTTGAGGTAACCCCCCTCCCCCGCTACTTATAGCAAATATTTAACGTTAATTTCCTTCGGGAGGGCCCCCTTGGAAGAGTGGGGCCCGGGGCAACAGCCCCCCCACCTCTGAATCCGGCCCTGATATACACACTTCAGAGGTGTTCATGCTAAAAATGACTTGGTATATGGAATTTTCATGTGCCGTGACCCATCACTGAGTACACGCTATTAACAAGACCATCATTGGGTATTTTACCCTATATCTTGGTCGACATCAAAAATCCTCTTCTGCTTGTACAAGTCAAGTTCATGTAACTGCGATTCCCCCTCACAGTCAGCAAATTCTCCACAAAGAAATCCTCATCTCACCAGGGGAAACGTAAGCATCTCTACTTTCATCACGTACGCAGGCAACTCCATGGTCTTTCTCGCAACATTTGTCTGCAGCAGTAGATGCCATAGAAAGGAAGGACTGAAGTTTCCTACAAGCTGACACTTTTTCAGCCGTTGAAAGCATTTTCTAGCTCTTGAATTTAGGATTCAATAAAAGTGCCGCGGGATGAAGATCACAGGCCTCTAATCGACGCACTGCTCTTTTAGTCACTTCTTTTAATTTCCTAATTTCGCTAGAGTCCTCATATGCCACTTTGCAATGTTTCTCCAGTTTACATTTCCATTGCACAGTGTATGAGAGGGTCATCTTTTTTGAGATCATATACTCCGATGCATCTTGAATAATTTCGAAACTCTATGACTTCCAGGAGTTTTGCATGGGAAAGTTCCCCAGCCGCCGCGCCATGCTTTTTTCCACAAGAATTTGTTGCACTTCATCCCAACTTTCGAAGATACTGTCTGAAGATGATACAGCATTGTGAAAATTGAGTTCCATCTTGTAATTACTTCCTGCCTCAATGTTTTTGACAAGTGTGAATTCTAGTCCGACTGTTTGAAATACTGCACGAGATGCTTTGGATCATTGATCAGATTTCAAACGGGGCATTCCACATCGTCGAAGACGTCGTGCATGGCTAGGTTGAGGTTATGGCAAAAAACAGCTTATCCTACCATATCCCGAAAATGCTTAGAAAATGTTAGCACCATTGTCGGTTGCAAAGATACTCTCCTGCATTTTTTTGCGCTGCAGACTCCTCATCTCCAGTGAAGCATTTAATCTTCACTATTCCTGGTCGGATTTTCTCTGCGGTTTTCCTTTCCTTGAACTCGATGGTTTCTAAGTTTCGCTCTCGAAGAATGAAATCCTCACCAATGAAGTGGGATGTGAGAGTGAGAAATGACCGTCACACATAAGAATCGCTCCAGGGGTCTGTTGTAAAAGCGGTACATGAAGTCTTCACTTCGTTGCTAACAAGGCCTCTCCATTGACGGTAAGCATGAGGGAGATGAAAACGAGATAGGCCAATGGCTGTTCGTGAAGCCAGAATATCTGCAATATCATGTCGTTCATAATCAGCCTCGATGGTCACCAGCTCCTGAGCAAGCTTCCGAAATCCCTCTCCATCAACTATATGAAAAGATCGGAGATCTTTTGCGATGAAGGTCGCTGCCATTTCTTTGACTTTCTGCAACCTGGCTCCAGGAATCTTTCGCCTCATCGATCTGTGGCTGGTTTAGGTCGTGTTGCTTTCGGCTGCATGTGTGACGATCTGCCAGTTCCTATCTTCCCTGAGTATGCACTAACAGAACTGCACAGTTCACATTGCACAAAGTTTTGCTGGATTCCATCCACGAAAATGAGTTTGAAAGTCTTCCAAATATCGCTCTTGCCTTTCTCATGGAATTCTACAGTAGTCTGCTTTGACTTATCCCTCAGCAATCGCTCAATTTCTGACTTAGAAACTCTATCCGAACACGCTTCCGTTGCTGATCCGATTTCAAGGAATCGATCAACAGTACATGGGTACGATTAGAGTTGTTTTTGAATAACAAAGAGAAATAACTTGCTGAAGTAGTTTTATTCTTATACAAGCTAGAACTACTATCCTATTTGAGCCCCTATTTCCTAAGTCCTAAATAGCTATCCCACAAGAATGCAGAGCCGGATGCGAGTGGCCATGCCATGATCGAATTGAGGAAATTAACTCGGAGACAACGAATGGAAGGGAAATAGATAGATCTTTTTAGATAGATCTTTTTTTTTTTCTTCAAAAAAAGCTTGCATGAGAATGATATGAGTTTCCGACGTTCCCACAGGTTCGATCCTCGAAGAAGGATATTGGAAATCCGGCAGTCCAAAAAAATACTCACGATCACGCGCGAGTGAATCCTGTTCCCTTTACGATCACGATAAAGGGCTTCTCCGAATCTCAGAGCGAGTAACGACTCACGAAAAAAGTCGTGAGTCCCGCGTGAATCACGCGTGAAGTGGGACTCACGCACACCTCTAGTTCCGAGTTCCCAAAGAAATGGAGTCCGTGACCCGGCTGAGGCCCTTCTATCAACTCACCTGCGGAATGATACTTCCGCCATTCAGCAGTAGACAACTGCCACTAGAAGTCTCCCAATGGGGATTGCCGACAAGTGCATCCTCACAAAGGGATGGAAACTCGCTGATGTGATTGCAAGGAAAAAAGCAATCGGGACATGGGCTCTTCTACACGTGACTAGGTCTGCTGGACGT